TGAATCTTAAAGGGACAGCCCACCTGCTGGCAGAGCTCACCATGAACTAGGCAAGGGGCACCTGTGTCCTTTCTGGGCAACCATATGTGCACACATGACTGTATATCAGTGCCCACCCAATTCTACCCTTCAACCCATGAAGATGAGGCCGCTAGTCCCCTGGGATGCAGGCCTGGGGGGTGACTGTTGACATTGTTTCCTTGTGAATGGCACCCCCTGGAGACAACCTGCATAGCTACACATGGGACTCCTGCAGATGGGGCTGTTCAGACCATGGGGGTGCAGGAGTGGTACCCGAAAACACACCAACCCATGCCACCCAAGCCCCAATGCCAGAGCTTTGTGCTCACCGCCAGCCTGGGCCGCCACCCACCCTGTCTAATGGAGTTGCTGCCCCAGGGTGCTTCCAAGCTCTCTTAGCCACGCATCGCCTCCCACCCCAGGTGATGGATCAGAAGCTGTCAGGACAGAGAGCTGCACTGGAGCGCGGCCAGAACCCTCTGCCCCTATACTTAAGCCTCAACGTCAAAGAGAACAATATGGAGACCCTCGACTTCAAGGGTACAGTTCTCAGTCCTGTTTACTCCACCTTCCACCACACACCCATCCCAGGTGCCTCCTCTATAGCCAGAGGGTCCCCCCAAATCATATAAGAAACTCCTGTGCACATTGCTCAGCCTTCTCAGTGATTCCAACAGCTTCTGGAGCTGGTGCCCATGGGCCTGAGGTTGGGGGTCGGGGGGAAGGGCTGGATGGTGGTGGTCAGGTCAAGACAGGCAGCCATGGGAGGTGTCTTTGGACTTCTCACAGCTGCGGCTCACCCCACCTTGTTCTCTTCTCCCTCCCTGTAGAATGGGTTGAATTCTCCCCCTATGAGGTGGGGTTCCTGAAGTATGGAGCCTTTGTCCCTCCTGAGCTCTTTGGCTCTGAGTTTTTCATGGGGCAGCTGATGAAGAGACTCCCGGAGTCCCGGATCTGCTTTCTGAAAGGTGAGAGGTGTCTCTTTGCAGGCTGTGGCCAGTCCTGGGTCTGACGGATGTGACTCCCATCATCAGATCTGGCAGAGCCCCTGACAGGGGCAGGTGTGGCTGTGGGGAAAGGCCACTGGTATCCCAGGTGGGGGCCACCAGCGAGGCAGTGGGGGGCAGGTGCTGAGGTCTGAGGCTGAGTTGAGATTTGGCCTTCAGCTATTTGGAGCAACATTTTCTCCCTGAACTTGTTGGATGCCTGGTATGACCTCACCAGCTCTGGGGAAGCCTGGAAGCAGCACATCAAGACCAAGATCAAGAACCTGGGTAGGCAAGAAGCTGGAGAGGAAGGTTCCCTTTCGGTGCCTGGAGGGGAGGGCAAGTGGCCAAATGGGAGCCCTGGTCCCTCACTGGCAGATGTCTGATTTCTGGGTACAGAGGAGCCTCCTACCTCCTCGTCGGGGACCTCCTCATGGTTGAAGGCCTCCTGGCTGCAGCCCGGAACAGCACTGGCTAAGGCATTTAAGGGTTTTCTGACGGGCAGGCCGCTCCATCAGCACAGCTCCAACTTTCTTCGGGGCCTCCAGTTGCACCAGGACTATTGTGGTCAGAAAGGCTTCAGCACCTGGGCAGGTAAGGGCCACTTCCCAGAGTCCCCAAGTAACGAGGCTGGGTTTCTGGGGGAGTTGGACCATAGCTAGGCTAAGTAGAGACCTGAGGTTCACAGTGTCCTTTTCTGGGGTCTGGGTGGGGAGTCTTGGCAAGGATCAGGATGGCGTAAGCATTCAAGGAAGGACCCCAGAAGTTAGAAGGGGATGTGGAATCAAGTAGGATGAAGGATGAATGGCTGATCTGCAGCTGCCCTCTCACTAGACTCTCAGTTGGACTCCAGCCCTGGCCAGCTGACCCCTCAAGAGTGCCAGCTCTGTCTGGTGGATGCCTGCTACTTCATCAACACCAGCTGCCCCTCCATGTTCCGGCCAGGACGCAGACTGGATCTCATACTGTCCTTCGACTACTCCCTGTCCTCGCCCTTTGAGGTACCTCGAGCCCTCTGCCCAACCAGGCCAAACTCCAGAGGTGAACAGTAGGCGGCTGGGCTACTGGCCCAGAACTCTCAGGTCCCCAGAGGGAAAAGGGTGACAGGCTCTGACCCACAGGGGCCTGCCAGGGGCCCGGTTGGGAAGGGGTATGGAGGTGCTAGGGAGATGGAGGTCCTGGGCTCCCAGAACAGGTGGACATGGAAGAAACTTGCCACATCTACCCTGAGGGTAATAGCTAACCAGAGCTAGGAGCAGACGCCACCTGGTTCTCATTCATATCCTGTTCCCCTGCTTCTGTAGGGCAGTGACACAGAAGCAGGTCTCCTACTGAGGCTCTCAAGGCTCTGGGACTTAAGCCATCCACAGCAATCCAAAATGGCAGCAGGGTAATGGGCCTGTACCTCAACTGAAGATTTTAACCCAGCAATATTTTTTAAAACAATATAATCGTTTATTTTTACATCATTTTGTGCCTTTTTCCATCTCAGTTGTGATCCCCGTGGGCTTCCCATCACCAAATCACCCGTGTGCCATCACCATAGTCCAGTGCACTTCCCTCCACCCACTGTTTTTGATCCCATTCCTCACTCCATCCCCATAAAATGTCTGTGGTATATAGCTGTTCATCATTATTATTATTATGTTCTCACCTGGTCTGTTATACTCCTGCTATGAGTGAAACCATCCGGTATTTTTCCTCTTCTTTCTGGCTTATTTCACTAAGCTTGATCTTTTCCAGCCCCATCCATGTTGCTGCAAAAGGCATGTGTTTGTTTATGTATTTATTTATTTTTGGTTGCTGAGTAATATTCCATTGTATATATGTACCACATCTTTTTAATTCAGTCATCCACTTTTGGGCATTTGGGCTGTTTCCATGTCTTTCCTATTGTAAATAAAGCATCAGTAAACATGGGGGTACAGGTTAACCCAGCAACATTTTAGACCACAGGGATCCCTTGCTCCCTCCATGACACTGTGTACCTTAACTGGGCCTTGACCAGAACAGAGCCAAGCCAGCCGTCTGGCCACTGAGCAGCCACTTTGGCCTGGAGCGGTTCTGGCTTTGGCTGGGTTGACAGGGAAGTAGCTGACTCTCTTTTTTCCCACCAGGCTCTGCAGCAGTCTGAGCAGTACTGCCGGGCACAAGGGCTGGCCTTCCCCCGAGTGGAGCCCAGCCCTCAGGACCAACAAGAGCCCAGGGAGTGCCACCTCTTCACAGACCCCTCCTGCCCCGAGGCCCCTCTCCTGCTGCACTTCCCCCTGGTCAACTCCTCCTTTAGGGCCCACTCAGACCCCGGTAAGGCAACTCTCCAGCCTGACAGCCTGGCAGCCGGGTCCTCAGGGGCTTTGCTGTTGACAGTCCCCAGCATCCCTGAGGCCAGTAGTGGGGAGGAGTACTAAGGCTCCTCCCATCCCGTGTCAGGACACAGCAGCAGCCAAGTCCCCCAGAGGCCTCTGCCCAGTCGATGCTCTCTCTCCTCTTTGTCACGATCCCAGGCTCCCTGGCCTCCTTCTCCCTGTGCTCCCCTGCTCTTCTGCCCTGAGAGTGGTGTGTGGGGATGACCCAGCCGGTGCCAGCCTGCACTGTCACTGTCTGCAGCCACTTCACCTCTGCTCAGGCACCCGGCCACCGAGGACTTCCTCAGAACTCTCCAGGCTGAATGCCAGGAAAGAGAGGCCCCAACCTACGCTTAGACTCCATTGAGACCTCCTGGGGTTAATCTGACCTCTCTCATCCTACTCCAGTCACGACTAAGACCCTTTCTCAGGAAGCCAGGCCTCTATTCCAGGGTCCCCAAAGCATGCCTTCCAATCTTCACTTCCTGCCAACTTGTCAGACTTTTATTTCCTTTTGGCAGGAAAAACTAATCTCTGCCTTTTTGTTTTATTCCTGGCTTTCCAGTTCCTGTATAATTCTAAACCTTCCAGCTCTCTTCTTCTTTTTTTTAATTGAAGTAACATTGGTTTAAGTGTTGTTTGGGATTTGGAGGTGCAACATCTTCCCCTTGAGGGGTTGCCAGCTTTGTTCTTCACAGGCTCAGCTCCCATCTTGTAGTTCTCCTTAACAAACACTGGCTCTTGCAAAGCAAAACCTCTGTTGGTTTTCAGACTCTTCTTTCATCATGCTTTTTTTTTTCTTTTTTAAAGATTTATTTACCCGTACAAGAGCTGGGGTGTAGGCCAGAGGTGTGGGGAGCAGTAGGCAATCCACCAGAGACAAAGTGGGAAGCAGAACAGGCAGATGTACTGAAATATACTGCTGAGGGGTGCAGCGGGCAAGGCATGTGGATCACCTCCCCTCTGGAGAAAGAACTTGAGCTAAAGCAGCTGTGGCGAGCATCACTATACTTCGCTTTAACTGGTTGCACCACCAGGAGGGCCCATCTTTGTTCTACTTTACCCCTCAAGCATGCAGAATGCTACCAGGGGGGCTGAATAGCTTAAGGAAATGAGGAAATTGGCAAACACTCTTTATCTCAAAACAGTGTCCGACTAGCTACATTTATTTTTCTGCGAAAGGACACAGAGGACCAGGAGGAAAGCAAGGTGCCCACTGGGTGGGGAGCAACCCTCCCTGGGCCCAGCTGTGGCAGCTGCTGGGGCCCACTCCTACCCCTTCTTCCCCCGGCAGGTGTCCGGCGCAGCCCTGAGGAGCTCCAGGCCGGCCAGGTGGATCTCACGTCGGCCACTTCGCCCTATTCCCTGTTCAACATGACCTACAAGGAGGAAGACTTCGACCGCCTGCTGGGGCTCAGTGACTACAATGTGCGCAGCAGCGCAGATGCCATCCTGCAGGCCTTGAGAGCTGCTCTGAAGCGCCGGGCCCACGGTGCCAGGCCTCCAGGGACACGGACTTGAGGTTGCTTGGGCTCTAGGAACCCAAGGGCCACTCTCCGACCCACCTGGGGTTGGGGACTCAACCCAAATGGGTAGTGAGCAGTCACAGCCTTCTTGGCTGCAGTTTCCAGGCTCTGCCAGGCTGGGTGCCCCTCTGCCCCATGTCACTAGCTAAAGGGGTTGCATGGCAGTCAGAGCTCCCCCTCATCCTCATACTTGACTTGAGAGGACCTGAAAATAAACTCACCAGACAGTGTGAGAACAGCTCATCTAACCACACATTCGCATGTAATTGTTTTCATGCCTGTCTAGAAAGGATTTGGGGTACAAGCTGTTTCAGAGGATATCACCTCTGTTTCAGAGCAGGGTAAGGGGGTGACCTGTCTGAGAGGTAGCTCCAAGCATTGCACATTACAGTATATCCTGAATCTTCTTTCCCTCCTGTACTGTTTTTAAATGACTTTAGTGTGATGTCATCCATATTGTGTGTGTGTGTGTGTGTGTGTGTATATATATCCACTTACATTTTTTACTGTCTGTCTTTTATATTAGAACTATTCTAGTGGGTGTGAAGTGGTAATCCAATATGCATTTCCTCAATTACTAATCAGTAAGAATCTTTTCCTGGCCTTTTGTGTATCTTCTTTTGAAAAGTGTCTATTCAGATCTTTTGCCCATTTAAAAATTGGATTGTCTGTCTTTTTTACTGTTGAGATATGAGTTCTTTATGTATTCTACATATTTTCTACAAGTCCCTGATCTGATGTATAGCTTGCAAAATTTTCTTGCATTCTGTGAGTTGTCTTTTTACTTTCTTGGTGACATCCTCTGAAACACATGAGCTTTTAATTTTGAAGATAATTTCTTTTGTTGCTTGTGCTTTTGGTGTCATATTTAAGAAACTGTTGTCCCATCTAAGTTCACGAAGAGTTACACTTAAATCTAATTACACATCTAGGTTTTAGCTCTTAGACCTAAGTACTTGATCCATTTTGAGGTAATTTGTATGTGGTGTGCAAAAGGGAGTCAGCTCAGTTCTTTTGTGTGGAGCTCTCTAGCTATTACAGCATCATTTGTTGAAAAGACTGTTCTTTCCCTATTGAGTTATCTTGATACTCTTGTTCAAAATTAAGCATAAAGGTGAGGGCTTATTTTTGAATTATGATTCTACTTCCCTTATCTATTTGTTTATCCCTATGCTGAACACACTGTTTTGATTACTATAGCTTTGTAGTAAGTTCTGAAATCGGTATGTGTTAGTCCTTTAGCTTCTTTATTCTTCTTCAGCATTGTATTAACTATTCTGGGTCCCTTGAATTTCATATTAGCTTATCAATTTCCATATTAGCTTATCAAAGAAGATAGCTGGGATTCTAATGGGGGTTGAATTGAATCTATAGATGTATTTGTAGTATTGTCATCTTAATAATTATAAGTCTTCTAATTCATTGACATGTGATATCTTTCATCTATTTAAGTCTTATTAATCTCTTTTAAAATATTTTGTAGTTTTTAGCATACAGAGTAACACTTATTTGGTGAAATCTGTTCCTAAGCATTTTATTCTCTTTCATGTCATTATAAATGTAAATTTCTCTTAATTTTATTTTTTTGGATTGTCATTGCTATTGTAGAGAAATACAATTGATTTTTATATACTGATCTTTCATCCTGTAACTTGCTAAACTTTTTAATTCACTCTCACTATTTTCTTTCCTTCTCCTCATCCCACCCCCCTCATCTTCTTTTCTGACTCTTTAGAATTTTCTACATGCCAGATTATGTTATCTGCAAATACAGATGTTTTATTTTTCTTTCTTTGTGATCTGAATGCTTTTTATTCCTCTTTGTTCTACTCTGTCTCTAGAATGTCCATTGTAATTGTGAATAGAAGTGGTGAAAGCATCTTGTGCCTTCTTGGAAAGCATTCATTCTTTTAACAGTAAGTATGACGTTAGCTGTGATTTTTCTTAGCTGCTCTTTAGCGGGTTGAGCAAGTCCCCTTCTATTCCTTGTTTGCTGAGTATTTTGTTATGAAAGGTATTGAATGTTGTCAAATGCTTTAGCTGTGTTTATTGAAGTCACTGAGTCATCTTTGTCCTTTATTCTATTAATGCAATTTATTACACTATAGTCATGTGCCATGTGACAATGTTTCCATCAAAGATAGAGCCCAAATAATAGGGTGGTTCTTTTGCATAGCCAAACTGTAGTCGTTACAATGTAGCATTTTTCATCAGCAGCAATCCCATAATCTCATGTTGCTGCTTTTCTTGATAGCATCTTTGCTTTTTATGACATCCCCTTAGAGTACAAAATCCACTGCTAACATTTCCAGTAAGAGGCAGGACCTGGTAACTGACCTGGAAACAAAATTAAAAGGGTTAAATTAAGCACTAGGAAAGTGGAGAATTGGTGGTAGCAATTACTTGCCAGCCAATTTTGTCCTGTTCCACCACAGCTACAATCAGGTGGGAGGAAGTTACAAACTTCATTGAAAGCAATGAGACAAAATTCTAGAGGGACCTGTATCAGATATTGTAACTGGAAGACCAGAGTTTGGCCCACCTGTCGCCACCAAATACCAATAAAGTAGACAGGAATTGCATTTTTTTAAAAAGATTTATTTATTTATTCATACAGAACTGGGGTACAGGCCAGAGGCTCAGGGGCAGCGAGAGGCTTCACCAGAGACAGAGTGGGGAGCAGAACAGGCAGATCAATGAAGTGCACTGCTGAGGGGAGCAGCAGGTGGGTCAGGAGAGGTCTGCCACACCATGTGGTCACCTCCGGGGCAGGCAGGAATCGAACTCATGCGGAAGTGACTTTAGCTTCTCAGTGCTGTGCTTTAACCCGCTGCGCCACCAGGGAGGGCCAGGAATTGCATTTTTAAGGTGCATTTTAATCAGAGCTGGCAATCTGGAAGACAGAGGTTAACCTCCTAAAGAAACCACCTTAACGTTTCTTTTCCAGCTGCCTTTTTATAGTGAGTTAAACACAGTTAAGCACTGAGCAGCCTTCACTGCTGCCTGGAGATTGTGATGCCCAATCCGAGCTCCTTACCAGCCTCCTGGGCGCCTGGCCTCACCGCCTCCTGGTGTGCTGAGGCTGATCTTCAGACAGGGTGGCTCCCCACACACCCCCAGCTGTGTCCTTGGGCTGGAAAATTAACTCAGAGCAGACAGGCTTAAAAAGTGTGTGTGCAGACTTCCTGCTATTGTGCTCAGTGTCTTATCCCATCCCTGCCCCGCACCCCAGCCCCTATCATTCTAGGGAGACTTAATGATCTGGATTGAAGACCAGATATAAAAAGTGTATCCCTCTCAGCATCAACTGACACAAAAAGTTTGTGAGGTTGAAAGAAAAATCGGGGGCCCTCTACAGGATTGAGTTTACTGCTAGTCATCTATCAGATGACAGCATCACTGTGCAACCTTTCTGGAACGAGACAAACGGGCCACTCGTCATCCCATCTGGGCATGCAAGAAAACAAATGAAACCACCAAATGAATGCACTTTGCCCTTTCTTGTTTAGTGTGAGAGAGTATTGCTTTCTTAGCCCTGGCTTATTCCCCACCTTAGATAAAGGTTATTCAGATACCCAGTCACCTAATTGTCCTCACCCCCTGATAGCACCCAATCCAGAACAACATTTCACTTCCTTGAACATTCTGTGAGTGGCCTCCTAAGCCCCTCCCACCACCCACTCACTGAGATACTCCCTGGTTCCCCAGGTTTGTGGTCTCCTTGTTGGAACAGGCACCAGTGAACTCAAATGTATTGAATTACAGTGGTGTTCTGGTAATCTTTGGCTGGTGGGCAGCAACAAGGGTTGAAACATCGGTGAGTAAACTCAAAAGTGGCAAAACCAGGACTGATGCTGAAGGCTTTAAAAATCAATAGGCACTTTGTATGTCCTGCATCTTTGGATATTTAATTTGTCACATACTGTATTATATCATGAAGAACTGAGATAAACAGAGGTCCAGCCATTGCCCTGGGCTACTGAAAGTTTATCTCTGGGTCTCTGGATTGTCTTGCCTGATGGCAGCAAGTTTTTGTTTGATGGACAGCTTGACAGCTGGACAACCTAATAGTGTGATTCATGATGGGGTCTGGACAAGTTCTGGCTTGTGGATATCTGGGACTAAGGGGATAAGCCTGATCTACCAGAGGGTCAGCCACATGAGCAGTGTATGGTCATATTTCAGTTAAAAACTCTGGACACCAGGCCCTCCCTGGTGGCCGGCAGGTTAAAGCACAGCACTAAAAAGCTAAAGCCACCTCAGTGTGAGTTTGATCCCTGCCCCAGAGGTGACCACCTGGTGCAGCAGACCTCTCCTGACCCACCCGCTGCTCCCCTCAGCAGTGTGCTTGTCAATCTGCCTGTTCTGCTCCCCACTCTGTCTCTGGTGAATCCTCTCACCACTGCTGCACCTTTGGCTTGTACCCCAGTTCTATATAAATAAAAAAAAACTCTGGACACCAAAGTTGCAAGTGACCCACCCAGACCCACGGAGAGTACTCTGTGGGCATCCTCACAAATGGTGGGCAGAGGCAGGTAGGACATCAGTGACTCCACAGGGAGCTGACAACTGAAAACTCTACACTTAGAGTCCTCCTGGACTCTGCTCTGCACATCTCTCCCTTTGGCTAAGTTCAATTTATATCCTTTCACTATTAAAAAAGCCCATGTGGGGGAGGTGACCCACATGGCACAGAAGACCTCTCCTGTCTCACCCGCTGCTCCCCTCAGCAGTGTATTTCAGTAGATCCATCTGTTCTGTTCCCTACTCTGTCTCTGGTGAATCCTCTCACCACCCCTCTATCTCTGGCCTGTACCCCAGTTCTGTAAGCATAAATAAATCTTAAAAAAAAAAAAAGACCTATAGTTCCTGGGGGTGGAGAAAAAGGAGCTAGCTCTCTTATACTATTGGTGGAAATGTAGACTGACCCAGGCCCTGTGGAAAAGAGGATGGAAGCTTCTCAAAATATAGCTATCTGAAGAACACAAAAACATG